TTTCAGTGTTCTGAGATGGAAACCCCTCCAGGCATAAAACCGGAACTATTTTAGAAGAGCGTTTCAATATCTGGAGATTTAATTATCTTTAAACTCTGCCATTTCTGGTTGGAAGGTCATTATCTTAGATTCCCGCATCTGAAATCACAAGCAAAAAGCCCTCACCTGTAGGACCTCACTTCCAGTTTAAGGCCAATCTGCCTGCCATATTGGTACCTATATGGAATTTCCACATCCCTGCTCTTCTCTTAGTGCTTACCTGCTCTTCAGAAAAGGACAAGACTAAATTTAAGTCTGAAAGATTTGAGGGCAACATTGGAAGAGCAAGAGACCTGGCTTCTAAACACCCAGGGGTTGCCACAAGCTAATAGTTGCCTGTTGAGTAAAGGGGAAGCCAGTTCGGCAAGTCATTGGGAGGGAAGGAAGGAATAATCCTCAATTACCAGCTAAGATTGAAAAGTTAAATAACCAGATGGAACCAGAGAGATAGTGGCCTGGGAAAGCTAAAATGGACCATGATTAAGCATCAAAACCATTCTGATAACTATTTCCTCCCCATTATTCTTCTGGAGTGCTCACCACCACCTCGTCTGATGGGGATGACCTACGATTTCGCTGCTCAGTGTGTTTCACTTCTATTATTCCTCCACTGGAATGTGGGACCTAGGGGCTTGTTTTTTCATAATTACCTGACCGACTGATACAGATGGGAGCCCATGGATCAAACAATAATCCTACATCTAAAAAAATGCAGAACCAGGTCACATTCAAGGCTGTGGTGTAGCAAAGAACTTGTAACAAGATGCTGGGCCCTACTCTGCAAATGTCTCCCATGAAGGGGCACAAGCCCAAGGTCACAAAGGCAAGCAGCTATCTCCAGTCCTTCCTGGCATGCTGTGCAGCCAGTCATCCCCTACCATGGGGTTTCTTAAGGAGAAAAAGACTCAGACCAACACTGATAGTGAGGAGAGTTTGTTCTCTTTCTTATAGGTGTAAGTCCTTACCATACCTTTATTGTGGCATTAAACTGCAGACTTCCATGCCCTACTACCCTTCATGTCCAGCCACCATAAAACCTGGTAAGAACCTAGAGCCAGGCCAACTTTCATCTTCTTTTAAGTTACCCCAGGCTCCAAACAGCAACAGCGACTGGACATGAACCCTGGCAATACTGCATCCCCTACAGGACACCAGGCACAATTTGTCAAAATAGACCATAGAGTCAATCACAGCAACATGAACGAGCACTCGCCCTGGGAGTGGTGCATGCAACACCCCATCAGGGTGATGTCTATGCCTCTGTGTAAATAAGATACACACATATACTACCAAATACACACTGTCACGTCAGTCTGCCACTGGAAACACACAATTAGATCATGCCACACACACATAGAAGGATTTCGACTTCCAAGCTGTCTATGGTTCTCTACCCTCTTGAGCACAGCTCTCCAGTTCCTACACACTCGTGTCCTGGTGGCCCTTGCTGGCCTGCTGGTGACCACAGCACCCCACTCACCTCCCGTTGCTCAAGTCGAACCACTTTTAACACCAGTATTATCATGAGTCAATAGCGCTGCAGAGATAATAATTGCACAGCGCCAGCCTGCAGCACAAGAACTAGCTACCAGGCTGTTCTCGGATGTCAGTCATTCCATGATGAATAAATGAGTGAGAGTTGTGAGTTATTTTGCCACTAACAGTGTACATGACAAAGGTACAGGACAATTCCTGTTCACACTAAAGACAAATTAAAGGAAGGTTTTTTGGCTTAACGAAGAAGTGATTTGAAGAGCAAACTCCCTTAGTGCTTTGTAAATGGAGTCTGATTTGCCCAAAACTACAGTTTTAAAGCCTGGTTCTGCGAGTGACCCCTTCCCACAATATGATTCACAATGTGATGGGTGGGGTCAGTTAGCATTTGTCTCCACTCACCTGCTTCATGGGCATGAGGGTAAATGCCACTATGAAAAGAAGCAAGTGGGGGAAGAAGACGGAAGAGGTGGAAGAAGCATTTCATAATTTGTATTGGTGCCTCATTATTATTTCAACCTTATTTTTAAAAACCTGAAAGTACTCTAGTGTGTTATTGCATTTTGTGCTGCTTAATCCACACACACACATGCCCCACCACCTCTGGGCACGATTTGCCTTTAAGTGGGGAACTGGGGTGTCCCCACCAGCACACGCTGCCTGGTCTGTGCTCAGATGTTATCTGAGGATGCAGAGTGTGGTTGTGGAGCACAATGAGCTGACTTGTTCTCACAGATCAAGGCCAGGATCTTGGCTTTTAACTTCAGTATTCTGTCCACTGTCAGCCAAAAAATGCATGTTTTGGAGATGGCCAGGATACACCCCATAAGGGCATATACTACTGTAAGTAATGACGAGCAGGAGGCTACAGGAGAAAATACTAACATATCTTATGTAAAAACCTTAGCAAGTTTATCTGACAGAGGAATTAAAACTATCAGGACACTAATTTATAGCTACTATTAATCATTTCTATAAAACAAAATTTAAACACTTGAACATATTTTTTATCACTAAAGTATTACAAGACATTATGAAACAAGTACATCGCTTAAACACTCATTATTTTTAAGCACTGGCCAAAAGTTCTAGAAAAAGATTATCAAAACAATAGCATACAATAGTCATTTCAAAAGGCAAAACCACAAGATATACAAATTATAGACTAGAAGTGATATTAATTTTGATCAAAAAGCTTTGCTTGCTAAAAACTAAAATCAGTACCAGATGATTTCACTCATATGTGGAAAATAGAGAAACAAAGCAAAGAAACTGATAAAACTAAATCAAAACAAACCCTGGAAATATGACTGGGGCTTCTAGAGGGGAAGGAGAATAGAGATAGAGCTTAGCGGGGAGGGAGCCCAAGGTCTAGGGTATGGAACTATGGGTTTTCTGGGTGATATAGTTTGGTGACATACATCTGAGGAGGTATGAACCTATATCCCTAAATCACATACAGAATTGTAAACCAGTGTTACCACAATATAAAAAAGCATTGATAAAAATTTAAAAAAACAAACAAAAAAAACCTAAAATCATAGTTGTACCTATTTACTTAAAATCTGTATCAGTTCCGAGTTAAGAAAATAATAGTAACATTTTTTTAAAGCCCTTCCTAGGATTTGGGCACTAAGAGGTTTCCATGTAGTACCTTGTTTTAACCCCCCAAACAAGTCTGTGAGGTAAAGGAAATTATCAGCCTTAATTTACAAATGAAAACTGAAGCACTGAGAGTAACTTATTCAAGGTCATATAACTAATAAATGGTGGAATTATTTCATTAACATGAAACCTCCTACAGATTATTAGAAAATAATTACATTTATATAAATATTCCAAGGGAAATATCTTTAAGACTCCAAAGATAGATTCATATTAACATTTCAAAAGCATCAATTTTGTGTGTTCGGGTCTTGCTCCAAAACTAAAGGAGCCACTTGTGAGTAGTTTACCTTACTAAGACTGAATCTCACATGAGTAAAAACCTGAGTTAATAACAATGAAAAAGATACAGTGACTTTGTTTCTTAAATGCATGGCATTTTATAATATACTCCATTTGAGTTGCTTTTAAATGCAAGCTACCAAGTATCATTCGGTATGCAAGCAGTTTTCCCTTATAGAGTCAACCATATTGCTAAAGTCATATAAAAAATGAATTAACTAAACACTTTAAAGCAACACTTATAAAATAGACAGGAAGAGACACAGCTGTACTTGAAAAAATGGACAAGACATAAGCTTTTTGGGTCATTATTGGACTTATGATCACTATGTTTAAAGGTTTTAGGATTTCTCAGGATGTGAAGACACAAGAATTATCTTTCAGAGATTTCATAATAGAGGAAAAGCTAAAGACCACCCCAGAGAGTGAAAATTAACCATTAGGTTCTTATTTGAATTAATTAATTGTTTTGAGTTAAATGCCTTTTGATTTCCTTAAGTAAACTAGTACAAGAGTGTTACTGAAGGGCCTCCCCTGGTGGCGCAGCAGGCTGTGAAGCTGCCTGCAGCCTCTGCAGCGCCGGTTCGATCCCCGGCCACTGGCAAGGGTCCCACATGGCGCGACAGACCTCTCCTACTGCACCCGCTGCTCCCCTTAGCAGTGTGTTTCTTCATCAGCCTGCCTGTTCTGTTCCCCGCTCTGGCTCTGGTGAATTCTCTCACCTTCCCGCGCTTCTGACTGTACCCAGTGCTTGTATAAATAAATAAATAAATCTTTTAAAAAAAAAGTGTTACCGAAATGGATTTGGTTTTCCATCAGTATGTTCAAATTTAAAATATCTGATGTCACACCTATGGAAATTCTGCCTCAGGCAATGTTTTCTCCTGGCCTGGTATGTATCATCAGGGTATGGTATCTTAGTGTAGCGATAGCTAGAATGTAAGGGGAAAATGGTACTCATATGTTCATAATTATCAGCTATTCTTTTCAGCATCTATGAGCATTGGTGTCTTTTTTCAGCACATACAAGTGACATGGCTGGGTTCTAGTGCACACGTAGCAACTAGGAACTATCGTAGTTAATATGCATGGTTAAAAAAATAATAATCATCGCTCATTACTGTATAGTCCCATTTGCCCCACAGAATGCTTTCCTACAACATTTAACTCATCAACTGGCTTGTATCATAGGGAATACAAAAAGGAAACAATATGTCAGTGATGAGTTGTGACTGGATGGAAACTCTGTAGAAATCAACCCCCAGTCTAAGTTAGTCTGTGCACTCCCAGGGTCTATTACAGGTTTTGCATATGGGAGGCATTTAACAAATGATCAGTTGCTCAAAAGCAAAGCAATACAAACACTTGTTTAGTATCTAGTTCTTTTTACCTCCTGAAGCCACAGACCCCTTCCATCAGTAATATGTATTTGTGTGGAAACAAGAAATGAACGAGTGAATTTGTCAGTGATTTTAAATAGAAACAAAAAAGGATGATGTATTTATGAAGAAGGTGCTTACCTTGCAAACAGAAAGAACATTAATATTTATCAGGTTCTTGATGGTCTGCAAAAAAATTGATAATTTTATATAGATTTGATTATGGAAGTGACTATATTATAGATACATATGATCTAAAGGTGCACTGAAAATTTTCCCCAGTACAGCAGTGACCGTGATAGAAGTTGGGGTGGAGAGGTAGAGTTTATTCTCAGTGCTATAGTACTTTTCTACCAACAGCAGCAATTTATGCTAATATGCAAAATCCAAGGTCTATGTGCAAGTAAAATGTGGAAGCAGAAAGACACACTATATCTAAAATAAACATGAGCCCTTTGCCATTTCCTCTCGGCTAATATGAAAGGAGAAATTATTGAATTTAAGCTTTTCAACAATTTAAAAGAATTTACATATTCCTTCAATGATAGGCTTTTCTGGGTTTTATTATAGATTTACGCATACACCAGAGATGTAGCTTTCATTTTAGTAGAGCTAGTTTACCTGAATCAACTGTAATTGCCATAGGTTAACATATTTATGAATTTTAAATTGATGTTTAGAAACAGAGCCGCACTGATATAATAAAAATAAGAATAACAAAACTGGAGCTATTATTGAACCTGGCACTGTACAATTGAGGTTATAAATATTTTCTCTTTCAATCCTTCCAACACACATGAAGCTGCCTAATTTATGAGCAAGAGATGGATCATCCAAGGATCATCATAGGGTAACTGAGGGAGCGGGAAGAAGAGCCAGGCGTGAAACTCAGGCTCTAGAGTCTAGGCTCACAGTCGTCACCACTGGACTGCACTGCCTCACCGACACCTGCATGGGGTTTTTCTGTTGCCACAATATAACAGAAAAGACTTACATTGTCCAGGTCTGGAATTTCCAAAAAGTATTCAGGATACTCATATGACATTCCCACATTGTTCACTGAAATAAGACAAGATAATTAGCTGGTTAGCATAGTTTATAGATTTCCTGTTATAATGGCATGAAATATATCAAGACTAAAAGAATATATATGATGACATAAAATACTGTTTCTAGCTGAGTGACATTTCCCATATCTTTTTATCCAAACTCTCTATATTATACAGTTCAAATGTGTCCTCCTTCATTAAACCTTTCTGTACCCAAACCCAGACAAAAAGACTTAAACTCATCTTTCAATTTCCATAGCACTTTGGAAGTGGGTGTACTCTGCTTCTTTAATCCAATTACTTGAGATATTGCTTAGACCCTCTCCAGATCGGAAATTTTCTTAGTGTACTAGAAAGAGCAGCGACTACTATAGTGGGAAACTGGAAACTTGAGTTCCACTCACTACTGTTCAAGCAACGTGTGGGGACTGGGGATAAGTCACATAAAACATGCATCTCATTTTTTCATCTCAAAATGAGAACTCATTTGCTCATTCAACAAATACCTGCCATAAACCAAGGTGCAAGACATGTGCTAGGGAACAGAAACACCAGAAAAGGTACTGTCTGGTATCATGGAAAATACTACCTAGTAGAAAGAAAGCGGGGCACTACACAAAAAAGAATTAAATAATGATTTCATGACAAAGCAGAATGCTGTGTGAGCCTATTCCTGGAGAATCTGACCTCACCTCGGAAGGAAGGGACAGTTTCTCTGTGGAGGTGACCAGGGTGGGTCTGAATAAGTGTCCCCAGTAAACCACCCAACCCTTATGGGACCAAGCAGCCCTGAAAGTCAAGATCATGTCTTCATCGTCCTGATATCCCTCCCCTCCCCAATCATCCAACCTAAGACTGGAGCTATAAAACAAGGCAGAAGGTACAAATAAATTTACATATGATTAATATTAAGATTATCCTATGCTGTTCCCTAGCCCAGAAAAGACAAAGAACAACCCAGAATAAGGAACATCACCGGAATAAAAAATAAATTACAAAATATCTTGGAATTTAACCAAATCAATAGTGAAATATATTATCCATTACATTTAATTATCATAATACCCCTGTTAGTTAGTTCCTATTATTATTTCTTTTTCACATATTAGGGAACCGAAGTTCATAGCAGTTAAATAACTTGCTGCTATTGTGACAGAGCAAAGTGAGGCTGGGATTCAAACTCAGGAAATTGGACTTCAGGGTTTAGACTCTTAACCATGGCATTAAAGCCACTGTATGCCTCCATCCAGACTTTAGTTCAGGAAAAAAGCATCAGTAATAACTGGATAATAAACAGAAATCTGATAGCAATGTTTAATAAAACTGTAAAGTATTAGAAAATTTCCAGTAGCAAGAAGGTAATGAAATTATAATCAGTCAGCTAAAGCTTATAAGGAACTGTGTCAGGCAAACCTGATAATATTAATAGTAACTTTTCTAATAGACTAACACAATTTGTAGTTCAAAGGGTCTCAATAAGGACTCTATATTTAGCTGTAAGCTGGACACTTGAGGAGGTAAGCCTCAAGATTTTACTTACAAAATTCGGGTAGTATGGCTTACACAAGACCAGTAAAATCTGAAAATCTGTAAGCAAAGGATAATGGCAAAGCAAACTATATTTAATTAGGGTTCCTGCCAACTGAGTAGGATAGTATCTAAACATAATTATTAACAGCAGGTCCAAATCTATTTTTATTTTATTTAATAGGTTCTCCACCCACCAGAGGTTCTAGGAATTCTATAAAAGATCTGTTACCAATTAAGTCAAAACTAGTTGAAGGTGAGGCTTCATGTTCGCTTGACTTTGCTTTAACCATCTACATAATTATAAAGGATAAATAACTTACAATGTAACTATGAGAAATAGCAATAACCAAATTATCAGCTAAAATGCCACACGTAAACAAAATTTTCTTTTCTACGTCAGTTTAAGATAAAACAATCTTTGCCAAATCCTAATACTCTTAGGATGTTTAAAAAAGGACACTGAGCACCATCTCTCTTCACTCTCCCATACCTGCAAAACTTTCTGTTTTCAGATTTCTATCTACACCATGGAAATATTAATGTTCTACGTCAAAATGCTAAGGAGGATGGAATAGTATAATTATAATCTTTTAAAATTCAGGTTTGGGTTTTTAAAAGCTAGTAACTTGGCAAGCAGCACAGTAACTTTGTAATCTTACGAGGACTACAAGTACCTAGTGAAGGAAAGGAAGTCCACAAATAACTAAGCAAACAGGGGATCGTGTTACTCTGGTCAAGGCTGTATTAACAAGAGAAAATATTCAAATACGTCTCTGCTAACTGAGCAAAGGAAAGTGGTCAAAGCTATCTACTCACACAAAGAAAATGTAAGCATCCGGTTAATGTACCTCTAAAAGAAAACATGTTCAACACTGAGAACTTTAGCCCAAAGAAATGAAGAGTATCACGTATAAGAGCTATGCTTTTATAATCAAAATTACACACAGGAAAAAAAAGTATGAAAGCAAGAATAGGTATTTCAGAGCACTGAGACTGATTTCATAAGGGGAAGTACATGCCAAGGTCACACTGGCAATTTGTCATGTACTAGGGATAAGGGCTCTTAAATCCCTTCTTGCTTTCTTAGTTGGATCTTTTGCGGGTGGAATAATATGTATCCATTATGTCTCCACAATAAGTAATCACTTCAGAGTGCTATTATTTAAGAATATAGAGAAAAATAACTATTACTCTCAAGTAGTGATTTCCATAAAAACTGCAAAATAGTGTAAATCTTTGGGAAAAGGATCCCCACTGCAATTTTATTTAGAGACAGTAGGTGGCAGCAATAACCAAACGGTAGGCAGAAAGCGAAACACTGTCAGGGACTTGGAAAAGGAAGAAAACAGGCTTTGGGTAGGAGTGAAGGATGGAAATATTTCCATTATAATTTCATCTCATTAAGAATGGGTATATGCAATGCTATCTTTATTTTTTACAGGATTCATGAAAGGATTCACCAAACCAATGAATGCTACAAGTTGTTTCAACATTATTCACATAGTTAGAAATCCTTTCTAGAAGGTACCATTTTAAATTGGCATTAAATATCTACTCATTGGTGAATTTTTTTAAAAAAATATTCAAGCAAGGTACTAGAAACAGCCTTAAAATTTTTATTCCATGAACCACAAAAACCTTTTACTCATGTGACACACCTTGTCTCTCAGAAAACAAAGGATGTCCATGTAATGTCAGAATTCCAACCACTACCCCACCACAGGACCATGAAGAGACACAACATCTTCATCAGCTTCCCACTGGTGTTGTGACACTGGCAAGAGCCCAACATAAGAGATAAAGAAGACAGGGCACAGAAGTGGAGAAGGGGGGAGCTCCCTGGTGGTGCAAGGGCTTAAATCTCAGCACTATGAAGTCATCAGCAGCCACTGCAGCATGAGTTGGATCCCAGGCCAGGGAGGTGACCCAAATGGCGCAGCAGACCTCTCTTGTCATGCCCGCCACTTCCCTCAGCAGTGTATTTCAGTAGATTTACCTGTTCTGCTCCCCACTCTGTCTCTGGTGAATCCTCTCACCATCACCTGCACCTCTGACCTACACCCCAGCATAAATAAATAAAATAAATCTTAAAAAAAAAAAGTGGCATTGGACCAAGAACAAGGTCAGGGTGAGAGGAGAGAGAAAGGAGGTGGAGGGCAAAGAACATCTTAATCCAGTGGATCCTTGAAGGGAAGAATGACATTGCACTGTTCTCCATGCCCCCCACCTAGAACTTTCAAAAACACCAGTACCAATAAATGCTGTGTTTTAAAGACTCAGAAAATCCACAGAGTAACTCTGAATGTCAGGTAAATATTCTAAATCCTTCCTATCGCTGTTCAAAAATCACTTCCATGTCGTATACTTAAAAAAAAAAAAAATACACAAGATTTCTTTCTTCCAAATTCATTTGCTGCTGCTTCTGACCTTACTAGACTAAGTCCTTTATCAAAACCAGCTGCTATGATAATGATGTCATTAGAAAATTAGATTTTTGGTATCTGGGTTGGGCATGAGGGAGGAGCAAACAACAATAAATAACTAGAAAATAAAAATCCATATGAACAAACACAATAATAACAGATAGGGGTAACTACACATAGATTATCTCCAACCTGATGCTTTTCTGTGTTAGTCAGAGACAAGAACTTAAGGACGTTTAAAAATGCATAGCCAAAAGGTTGACCTTCCCAGAATATATCAAATTATGCCATGTTTTCTGTTTACTTCTCATCATAACAAAGTAGTAAATGTTAAGTTCACATTTGGTCACATTTATAGCTATCTACATTAATCCAGGTCTAGCATTCAAATTAAAGACTAGAAAATGGAAAGCCTGTTAGAGTTCATAACAACAATGTATTAGGAAAAATGCTGCCACTCTATTATATTTCAAAATAAAATGTATTTTTAAGTGTAGATTTCAGCCAAAAGTGGGGATCTCCTCTTGTCCTGAGCTTTTCAACAAGAGTGGTGTGGACCTCAGTCCTGGGTTTCAGTACTGGCTCTACAGCCACTAGCTCCAACAAGAGGCAGGTGATTCCACCCTGATAAGCCTCAGTTTCCTCATTGTCCTTATATAAAACAGTAACTTAAGCATAAAATGAAATAACACGTGTAACATCTGTAACCCAGTATCTAGAACATATAGTATATTAATAAACCAAGGAGGGAGAGTTGTGTTGTTGTGTGATCATTTATTAACAAGTATTTATGCAAGTCCAATTTTGTACCCAATGCTATTCTGGGTGCAGAGGATGTAGCAGGTCAGAAAAGATCTCTGCTTTTCTTTTTAGTTTTTTCCTTTTTAAAGATTTATTTTTTATTTATTTTTGCGTAAAAGAACTGGGGTGCAGGCCAGAGGTACAGGGGGTGAGAGGATTCACCAGAGACAGAGTATGAAGCAGAACAGGCAGACTGAATGAAATACACTGTTGAGGGGAGCAGGGGGCGAGACAGGAGAGGTCTGCTGTGCCATGT